AGAGAGAGACCGAAGGAGAGAGAGAGAGAGAGAGAGAGAGAGAGAGAGAGAGAGAGAGAGAGATACAAAGAGAGACAAAGAGAGAGACAGAGACACGGAACAACAGGACCAAGCGAGAGAGATACAGAGAGAGACAAAGAGAGTGACAGTGAGACGGAACAACAAGACCAAGCGAGGGAGAGAAAGACACAGCAAAACTTCCTCCTTTTTTTTTTCCTCTTGTTTTTTTTTTTTTTTTTTTTTTCAAGACATATCCGCCATAGCTATATGGCGCACCATTTTGTCTCGGCTCTTGCCACTGAAGATGGTAGAGTCTTGGCCGCACTCTCCCTCTGCCACACACCCACGCGCACACCCACACACACACTTGGCCGCACTCTCTCTCTGACACCCACGCACGCGCACACACACACACACACACACACACACTCTTTCCCCCTCTCTCTCTCTAACACACACGCATACACACAGACATATGGGCAAACTTCGTCCCATCTGTTTGTCCGCCTCAGTCTCTGTGTATGTGTGTGTGTGTGTGTGTGTGTCCGTCTGTGGGCATCGCTGCACTACTCTCCGCATGCACAAAAGACAAAAAACATGGCGATGTATSTTTCCAGGTTCCCGAGGAGGATTCATTCTCATTTTGCACAATCGGAGAGTAATGCAGCGACGCCGTGTGTGAGAGACAGGCAGAGACAAAGGGCGTCGCAGCACCACTCTCTGCATACACAAGAGATAAAAATGTTTTTTCGTCTTTTTTTTTTTTTCCTTTTTTCGTTTGCTTTCTTTTTTTTTTCCTTTTTTTTCCTTTTTTTTCCTCCTCCAATACACAAAAGGGCGTGCGTGCGTGCGGGTGGGTGCGTGGGGGAACGTCCATCCCGAAAGCGACACGCAAAACGACACGCCAAAGAAAAAGAGAGAAAAAAAAAAAAAACACAGAAGCCCGACGCACCAAAATGAAAAATCAAGAGTGACGAAAGCGGCACGAAAAGGAAAAGAGAAAAACACGCACGCCAAAATGAAAAAAAATAAAAAAATCAAGAACGACAAACGCGGCACGAAAAAGAAAACAAAAGAAAAGAAAAAAAAAAAAAAAAAAAAAAAAAAAAAAAAAAAA